TTAGCAAAATTCTATAAAAGAAGCTGAAAAAATTCAAAATTTTGCATCAAGTTGCAAAAAAATGCCCTCAAAAATGATCTAACCACAGAGTGTGAAAGCAAGACTTACCTACTTTCGAGATTCTCAAGTGTAAATATTTCTGCTCTTCACGGTTATTTACGTCGTGAAACAGCTATTCAACCTGAACGGTTCTAGGAATTCCGGGTGGTCCATGGTTCCCGCATCAGTCATGACTGGAAATGGCGCAGCAATGTCCTTGGGTAAGGCTAAAATATGTATTTATCACGCGTTATGCAATCATTGAATTGGCATACTGTTCTTGCTATAGTTCATATACTTTCACATCATCAATTTTGATTTATTATACAGTGTGGTCACTAAGTAGACCACCTGCCTATTTTAACATTCTATAGTTTCTGTTGGCTTTCCCATAGACGAATGCTCATTTCAGAGTCTTCAAAGCACGAGAGAATCAATCTTTGGCTGAGATTGTGAATGTCGTTGTACATAACTATGAACTAGACAGAAATCTACTGCGGATCACATGTAGTAAAAGTGGTGAGGAATTCGCACCAGCCAAAGCGTTTCCAGATCTCAAGGAGAAATTAAGAGAAGTAATTCGTACAGTCGTGCATTTTCTATGTTTGGTGTATCTCTGCCAGTTCAGGTGTTGCATACAGTGTTGTCATCCTGCTCTGTTCCCGTTCTGCAGACGATACAGATTGTAGATCGGATTATGAAAGCGTTTGCCGAGTCAGACGTACGACCACCATTTACGTTACGTTGCTGTGGTGAAGACATCTTCAACATCTATTCGCTTCTCAGAGATTTCAACTACCACTACCATACCATTGGCGAGATTATTCAGTCTAAGCTTCAGAGTAAGTACTGTGTGAATGCCTCATATACTACAGATGAAGTCTAAGATTTCAGTCCTACAACCTTGCTTCGCTAGTTTGAATGCTGATCATCTTCGCGAACTAGAAGAGTTCCTGGGTCCCTTTCAAGAAACGTTCGAATCATTGGCACAAGAGCAGCCCAACTTTCACAAGGCAAATTTTCTATTCTGTTGATGTGCCACTTCAAGGGATATGATGTTACTTATGTTTGTTCCTACAGGTATTGCCGGAGTGGTATGCTCTTATGCATGAGTGTCATCCGTCTTCTGAGGAGATATCGCCGCTCTTGAAGGAACTGAAAACGGTAAGCTTTCCTTGATAACGGCTTCTGCATCATTTCATTTCATTTAATTATTACGCTCAAGGCGTTATAGAACGCTAACAAAATTGAATTGGTCATACAATAAAACACAACAATAA